AGAACGAAAACATCAACATATTTTGAATGTGGCAAGGGCTTTACGATTTTAAAGTAGACTCCCTCTGAAATTCTGGAATGATTTTGTTCTGACAGCGGTATATTTAATAAATAGAACACCAACTCCCGTTTTGAACAATCAAAGTCCTTTTGAAATGTTATTCAAAAGCAAGCCTAAGTATGGCCATTTGAAAGTTTTTGGCTGCCTGGCCTTTGCCACCACCCTTGTAAGTGGTAGACACAAATTTGATCCTAGATCTAGGGAGTGTGTCTTCATTGGCTATCCATTTGGGGTAAAAGGATATAGTTTGCTTGATTTAAAAACAAATAAGGTTTTCATCTCAAGAAATGTTGACTTTCATGAAAGTATTTTTCTTTTTAGAAACACAGGTCTTGACAAAAATACACCCTGGCTGACTTCAATCATCTCGGCTTTACACAAAACCCTATCATTAACAATGATTCCATCACCCCTACATTTGATAACACCAATTATAATGGTGAACATGATTTTATAAATCATCTTGAATCCTTCAATTCTCATGAAAACACAAATTAGAACATTGATCAGCCAATTAGTAATCAAATAGTCACTGATATCATAGAATCAAATGCACCAGTCACCAGCCATTTACCTTGCAGGTCCAACAAAATTCGAAAAGCTCCTTCTCACTTGCAGGATTTCATGTGTCAACAGGCATCTTCACCTCTCCCACTCCAGAAACTCAACAGCAAGAAGGAAACTGAGATTACAGGTAATGTTTTTCCTCTTACTGATAGCATTTCCTATGATAAACTATCCACTCATCACCGTGCCTTTGCTACTTCAATAATAAGTCACACAGAGCCTAAAACCTATCAAGAAGCCTTATCCTCTCCTGAATGGTGTGCTGCCATGAAAGCTAAAATTGAAGCCCCCGAACTTAATGATACTTGGACCTTGGCCAAACTACCTTCTGGTAAAGAAGCAAGGGTGTAAATGGGTTTACAAGGTAAAATTCAATGAAAATGGCAGTGTTGAGAGATTCAAAGCACAATTAGTAGCTAAAGGTTACACGCAACAAGAGGGGCTTGATTACCACGAGACATTCTCCCCTGTGGCCAAATTGATCACCATCAGAACTTTACTTGCAGTTGCATCCATCAAGGGATGGAACTTATGTCAATTTGATGTGAATAACGCTTTTTTGCATGGAGAATTGGATGAAGATGTCTATATGGAACTACCCCTGGTTACTCTAATGCCAATGGAAACAAAGTGTGCAAGTTGCGGAAGAGTATCTATGGCTTGAAGTAAGCCTCAGGCCAATGGTATTCAAAACTCTCCAACTTTATTGTTGAACAAGGTTACATTCAATCAAAGGCTGATTACAGCGTGTTTATCAAGTCGACTGGTGAAATTTTTACTGCAATACTTGTTTACATTGACGATATAATAATTGCTGGGAATTGTATTGATACTATTAATGAGCTTAAAGTGTCCCTCAATGATAAGTTCAAAATCAAAGACCTAGGGAAATTAAAATACTTTCTAGGTATTGAGGTTGGAAGGACCATTTGTCAAAGGAAATATGCTCTTGATATTCTAAAGGACTCAGGCACTATTGGCTCTGTTCCTGCCAAAATTCCACTTGATCAAAACGTGAAGCTTAGCAAGGATGAAGGAGAGTTGCTACCTGAACCATCACTTTACAGGAGATTGGTAGGTAGATTGCTATATCTAACCATCACCAGACCAGATCTCGCCAACTCAGTCCAACTATTAAGTCGTTTTATGGAGAGTCCTAGAATCCCACATCTACATGCTGCTCATAAAGTTTTAAGGTACATCAAAAGAGCACCAGGTCAAAGGCTATTCTACCTTGCAGATTCAAACATACGGCTGAACGGATATTGCGATTCAGATTGGGGGGGCTTGTGTTGATACCAGAAGGTCAGTGACTAGCTATTGTGTATTCATTGGCAGGTCCTTAATATCATGGAAGTCAAAGAAACAGCATGTGGTATCTCGATCTTCTGCGGAGGCGGAATACAGAGCAATGGCTAACTTATGTTGTGAAATCACTTGGCTTGGTTACTTACTTAAAGATTTGAAGATCAAACTCCCTAAAGCTGCTGTCCTTAATTGTGATAATAAGGCAGCTATCTACATAGCCACAAATCCGATTTTTCACGAAAGAACCAAACATATTGAGCTCGATTGTCACTTGATTCGAGACACGATACAAGATGGGAGCATTGTGACACAACATGTGTCCAGTAATTCTCAGATTGTTGATGTTTTAACCAAATCCTTAAGTTCACAAAATTTTTATTCATGCCTATCCAAGATGGGAGTAATGAATATCTACTCTCCATCTTGCAGGGGATATTGAAAACACAAGATTTCAATATGATGAATCATTCCAATCTGATGAGTCACCTACACAGTCAGCAAGAAGATAGCCAAGCTGGATTTGGTGAAGATAATCAAGCTGGATTCGGTGAAGATAATCAAGCTGGATTCGGTGACAAGGATGCAGCAGAAGAACAATCTAGAAGCTGATTTGTTATGCAGTTATTTTTGCACAGCATTGTATTGTTTTATTAGTTTTTCATTCACGTGTTAGTCAGCCAGTTTGTTAGATAAGATTCCATTCATTGCTGTATATATTTTCTTGGTAGCTCTGTGTACAAACAATTAATTCTTCTTTGAAGTAATAGATATGTAATTTTCAGCTTCAATCAAATTAGTTCATATCTTCTATATTTCAAAACTTTACAGCTTGATGTTCATGGAAATATATTTTGTTTTGTTTGTGGACAACACGGCATGTTGTTGCAGTAAAATACGTTAAATGAATTGTCCAATATACTTTATCTGCTTCAACTGAGCATTGTTGAATACAGTCAATAAATATTTCAGTTCGCATTTTTATTTATTTTTAATAATAGAAGGGTGTGTTCATTTCTCCCCTCTTGAAATGTAATTGTATTCAATGATGATGGAGAATTCTCTCATGTCATTGTTGTGTTTCCAGTCTGTAAAAAAAATTAAGATAGAAATTAATGGCGCCACTCACCTTTTATGTGGATTAAGTATTTGAAAATTGGATGCCCTTGGTAGTTTAAGCACTGAATTATATATGACGTGCTCTGAACTTTGAAATTCTTCTCAAATGGAGGCTTATTTTGGTGGTTGCTCCGACCTGCTTTCATTTGACTATTACATAGTTAGAGTTTGGACTATGCATCATGATTTCACTTATATTGGAACTGCATTGTGCTTATGGATACTTTTCTTTCTTTTTGTTCCATTCAGAATTTTGGGTCTTCTCGAGTAATTAATTTTGAGTAATGCTATAATACTTTGTCATTCATATGTTAGGCCTTGCAAGCTCTTTCCATCAAATATGGTGTTTTCCAATCTATCTATAGTTACTGGAAGGAAAAGGTATGTGTCACCCACCATTTGATATTCTTGTCTTGCATGTTTTCATGTGGATTAATTTTACTAGAAATGTTTGCACAAGATATGCAGTGTTTTTATATGCTTTTGGCAAATCAAGCTATCATCTCTGGTCTTCTTTTTTGTATTGAGTACTTGGCAGTGGAAAAGATAGATGGCTGCGCCCCTGCTTATTCAAACACACTGAGAAACATGACCTAAAAAGGGGAGAGTAGGTATGGGATTTAAAATAATGGTGATTTGGTTTAATTTTAGTTTGCTGAAGCTTTCTATTGTCTACTTCTAATTTTTGCTTCATCTTTCATATGGTAGTTTAGCCCCTGCTCGATGTTCGTGATTTCAGTGAAGGATTAAGGTGGAAGATGTAAGACGTTAGCATAGGAATGTTGACAGCAAAGTCATTGAAGTTAATTTTGTACTAAAATTGACTTATTTGGTGAAATTATTGAATTTTGTTTTATTGTTTTGTTCTAGGTCATTTTTGTATAGATTCAAAAATTCTTAACGAAATTATTATGAATTTTATTAGTTAATTTGCGTAAATTTTTGAATGAATAGATTTTTATTTTTTATTTTTACCTATGCAATGGTCAAGCAACATTGCAAAAAAATAAATAAATTAGAGACCTGCAGCAACATTCAAAAACGTTACAAAAAGGTTATTGGCAACGTTTAAAAAACATTGCAAAAAAGGTTATTGTCAATGTTTCAAAAACGTTGCGATAAAGTTATTCGCAACGTTCCAAAAAATGTTGCAAAAAGATTGGCAACGTTTAAAAAGCGTTGCAAAAAAGGATATTGGCAACGTTACTCTACGACGACATTGAGGTTTGCAACATACGTCCAAACGTTGCAAAATGTCTTTGGCAACATTTTTGAACGTTGCAAAAGGTTGTTTTTGTTATAGTGAATGGAAAAAATAGGATAAACAAGTTATGTTGAGGTGTCTGTTTCTTTCATGAAATTTGAAGTGCTTGGTTTGGTTGTTGGACTATTCTCAAGTTGGTTTTTCCAAGAGAGAAACCTAGTCTTGAAAGAACCGATCTTACAGATCTTAATTCTGAAACAAAAATGTAATGTCTTTAACATATGATCATGGATCCATGTGATAGATTATTAAAGTTCTTGTGTTGCTCTGAAATTGAATGTTAAAAAGTCTTTCATGGCTCTCTCTTGTGAATTTTATCTTCAAACATTTATGCATGTTTTTCAGTTTTATATGGTTTTCTTTGTCTCCCAGTAGACTTCCATTTACGATGCTGGTACTACAAAGAGCAGTGGAGATGGTGTGGAACAATCCTGAGGTCTTGGAAGTAACATATTCATGCTGTTATGGCTCACACTGTGGCCCTTCGGTGCTGCTGGTGTCATTGCTTTAAGTATTGGTGACAGTGGACGCTGGTGGCTTCTTGTGGTGAGTGGCAAGTTTTTGCTCTTCATTTCATCTTCTTTTGGCAGAATTGCGACATATATTTCTATTAAACCATTCATCTTGCAACACCAAAAACTTTTCACACTTGTATGTCAGGTTCTATCTGTAAGTTTGTTCTGGAATGGTGTTTCTTGTCCTTATCCATGGTGGTCGAGAAGCAACATCAATGCCTCTTAAACCTCTTACGAAGTCTTTGAGTTTTGCTTTCACCACTTCTTTTGGAAGCATATGCTATGGATCACTCTTTACAGCTGCTATACGAACATTGTGGTTGGAGGTAGGCAATCAAATGTAGTTGGATTTGATTTGAGTACTATAATATATTCACTGTCGAGTAATGACATCATGCCCACACGATTCACTGCACGATTCAAAACTAACAACTGGGTTGAACTCATTTTACAGATTCGGGGATTGAGGTCAAAGATTGGCAAAAATGAATGTTTGCTCTGTTGTGTTGATTTTCTGTTTCATCTAGTGGAGTTTTTAGTTCGTTTGTTCAACAAGTATGCTTATGTCCAGGTATTTGTTCGATATATATTCTGGAAGTTCTCCTTAAATGTTCATGCTAATGTGACATTTATGAGACTACATACATGTAAATGCACACGTGGAACTGCACGCTTGGACTTCCACTGGGAATTAATGGGCTTAAGCATGAAAACACTAAATGGCAGGAAAACTTTTTGAGTTTGGTTGGCATGAGAACTGTACTCTATGGATAAATCTACACCTGGAGTATTTTTTATTTTTTATTTTTATTGTGATACAAGTATTTACTAGTTAAAACTTGTGTATATGATGATGCTTTGTCTTTCCAGATTGCAGTTTATGGGAAAAAGTTTAATCACTCAGCGAAAGATGCGTGGGAATTATTCCAATCAACTGGTGTTGAAGCACTTATTGCTTGTGACTGTTCAGGTGTTGTTCTATTGATGGCAACACTCTTGTGTGGGCTTATTGCTGGAACTTGTGCAGGAGTTTGGGCGTGATTAAACATTCTGAAAGAGTGATAATGGTGGAATCTACAGCTATGTTGATGGGAATGATCTTGGTACACTTTCTCTCAATTAGGGGTGGGCAAAACTCAAACCAACCCGCCTGATTTGGGTCGGTTTTTTTTTTTTTTTAATTTTATAGTTGGGTTGGGTTTTGGGCGAAGAAGGCGGGTCGGGTTGGATCGAGGTTTTTATTTTTATTTTATAGTTGGCTTGGATTTTGGGAGAAGAAGGCGGGTCGGGTCGGGTCACGGGTTAATCCAAGAAAATCGATTTAACCCGGTCCGACCCACTTAGTTAAAAAAATAAAAAATACGCAACTCCATTCCAAAAGGCAAAAGTCATGGGATAAACAAGTTACAAAACACAATTACACAACTCTAACATAATAATTTTTCTCCTCTCTCTCGCTCCCACGGTCCAACTTCACTCGCTGCCGCCTATTTTCTCACCAAGAAATGGGAAAGTATTTTTTTTGTAAATTTTTTAATTGCTAAAATTTGTCGGTGAAAAATCTTTTAGAACTTTTGCACTTTAAAATCTTGACAAACTTGTTTTGAGTATCTATGATTATTCCAAGTTTATAATTTAACTTTTGGTTATGCTATTAAAAAGTTGT